TTGCAATCATTTTTTCCCTCACCCCAAGAGCAAGGTGGAAGTTCTTGGAAAGAGGGAGCCGAAGGTGGAAACAGCCTCTGTATCCCAGGGTAGGGGTAAGGTCTGCGTACACACTACCCTCCCCAGATCCCCTCGCCCCAAGAGCAAGGTGGGGAGTTCTTGGAAAGAGTGAGCCGAGGGTCTATTGGAAACAGCCTATCTATCACATAGTAGGGATAAGGTCTGCATAAACACTACCCTCCCCAGACTCCACTGGTGGGATTATACTAGGTTGTTGTTGACCTTTCCTACTACTTAGTAGGAAGATTTTTCAAGCAACAAAGTGCAGTAAGATAATTTCAAATAGAACCTTGCTTATTACCATGTTCATTGGAAGGTTCTAGTAATGGAATGCTTATCTTCTTTTTTTGTGTGGGTACATTGAAAAAACTGGATGAACATTTTAATCATTTTCATATGCTACATGTCTTAAGTTTGTAAGGAGAATTACCTTCATTTCCTTGAGCGCATCTTCTCAAATTAATTCTTTATGTTTTTCGTGCCTTCTTTTGCCAGAAAATCTACAGATTTATTTGTCTCCCTTTAGATGTGTATAATAGTGGCTTTGTCCACGCACAATAAATAATTACAATAAGAGGAAAACAGTTTGACAATAAGTAATCAGTCCATCTTCACTTTTAATTTTTTGTATCTCCTTTTGCTGAGACTTTGTTTGATGCTCGATAATTCTATAATGCGACTTTATTATCGGATGACAGCATTGTACTACAATATCAAAAAGTGTTTTTTTAAAATTAATCCATAGTGTTTACCCATAAAATGATACAGTTGAATTTGTAATGTGGTTTATAGACAAGTGAATCGATTTGATCCCAAAGTGATAAATAAATCATACAAAACGCAAAACTTAACGTTGAAACCGAGATAAGACAACAAATAGCTTGGTTCCCGAAGCATAGCTTCTAAAGGTAGTAATACCAATATCAATAGACAAGAAATAAAATATTATTGAGCTTTTGAATAGTATATAGCATAAGTTTGTCAGAAAATTCGTGTCTCTTACAATGGCTGCTGAAGTCACTATTTATAGTTATACCTAAGGAATAAGGTCCTAGGATCAAGCCCTCTTAAATGACAATTATGGGGGCCATTGATGAATATGTAACGGAATACTATGAATGCCAAAATTCTTTATAACGGACTGTGCATTTAATACTAAAGAATATTCCTCATTGAATGCCCTCAGGTGGCAAATATTCGGTTGTCTTCATTAGCAACATTGACTTAAGGGTCTTCCCGGTGTCAACCGAAGTTGTTGTCCCCGATTTTGGTTTCTACTTGCCTTGCTTTATGTCTGTCTCTGGTTTCACGTGTCGCTCTATTATTTGAATATTTAATACGAACCGATTTTTTCCCATACAATGAAGTATGGCCCTGCCTTCAATCCATCACTACTGCTTTTCCCTTCATCTTCTTGTATTGGCTTATCATTTTTAGAACCTCCAGTCACTATGTTAGCCGCATATGATCTCTTATTTTTGAAGTCAATTAGGTAACCAACAAGCTTGTAACAGTTCTCATTTGAATGGTCAGGTTTGTTGTAGTATTCACACTTCACAAATGACTTCTTTCCTTTGTATTGTTGTCCTTTATTGGCTTGCATTCCTAATTATCCTCCACCTGCTTGCATAGCAATAGGATCTCCTCTATTCCTTACAGTAGAATTGGAATTTTGACTTTCATCTTCAATGATTAGAGCATAAGCTTGATTCAGTGTTGGCTCTGTAGTTTTCACCAGGATCTGTCGTCTTGCTTGATCATAGGTCTCATTAAGTCCACTCAGAAATTGCATTAATCTTTGTTGCTGAAGGTGCTCAATATATTCCTTCGAGTTTGGAGTGGACACCATTGCATCATATTCTGCCCACAGCTCCTTAAGCTTAGTGAAATAGGCAGATACAGAATCAGTTCCCTGTGAGATGGTGGCTATCTCTGTATGTAATTGAAAAATTCTCACACGATTCACCTCATCGAACCTTTCTCGGAGATCCTCCCAAACTAAATGCGCATTAGATGCGTATACAATGCCACTAAGCAAATTCGGAGAAACTGTGTTCATGATCCAGGAAAGTACAATTGCATTACATGTTTCCAGTCCTCATATAATTTAGACTCGAATGAGTCCTTTTTGCATGTCCCGAGCACAAACCCTAGCTTTCTCTTAGCTTGCAGTGTAATTCGCATTGATCGACGCCACAGTCCATAATTTTCTGATCCTGTAAGCTTTACAGGAATCAAAATCGAGCTAGGAGTATCTGAAGGATGAACAAACAAAGGATGCGTGTGATCAATTTTTTCGGCCGTCATTGACGATCGTCAGCCAGAGCTTCGCGAGGAAGACGATGATGAAACTATTGTCAAATAGAATAAAATTTGCAGAATTATAGATCTTCACTGCTCTGATACCATGTGAGTTTGATGAATCTGAGTCTATCTCTCACATCCATCCATGCATTCACGGCTAGAGCTCAATTTGGGAGGAAACTTGAGTAAAGAAGATAGGTGTAGAAAATGAGAGAAATGAATTCTATATATCAAAAATGTAATTACAGGTATATATATACCACCAATTTAACTGTGGTTCTAACAACTTAACTATGGTCAGCTGGGACTTACCACTAACTATTTTTAACTAACTAGAGTCTAGCTTAACTACTTAACTACCTATTAACCTCTTATTCTTCACACCTATGGAACAAGGTCCTAGGATCAAGCTCTCTTCAATGACAATTATAGGGACCATTGATGAATATTTAACGGCATGCTATGAATGTCAAAATTCTCTATAACGGACTGTGCATTTAATACTGAAGAATATTCCTCATTGAATGCCCTCGGGTGGCAAACATTTGTTTGTCTTCATTAGCGATATTCCCTTCGGGTCTTCCCGATGTCAACTGAAACTGTTGTCCCCGATCTTGGTTTCTACTTGCCTTACTTTCTGTCTGTATCCGGTTCCACGTATCGCTCTATTATTCGAGTATTTTAATACGAACCGATTTTACCCCATATATATAGTTAGTGTCACAATTCAAGTGACGGTCTTTCTCTAATTATGCTATCCAGCTGAGACTACGTACCAACAAACTTTTCATACTTTCTTCTAGGTTTATTCTTTGTAGCAGTATTAACTCATATGGTAATAATCATGTTCTGTACAACGAAGATGTAACTGCAAAAATTTCCACCAATGGCATGAATCATTCCATGTGCTAGAAACAGGAAGTTGATAGTAGCTAGTTTATTATAGTTTGATGATTATAACTAAGTCAAACGTACTCTAGTATAATTAGACGATCATTATTAAGAATGAAAGCAATGTGTGATGTGCAACTCTTTCTTACTCATCTGGAAGGAATCAAATGAAAAGGAATAATAATAATTATGATCATCTGAGTGTGATGTACCAAAGATATATGTCAAATCTTTTGTTCCATCCTATTCATCTACTTAAATGCATTTAATCATTGGCAAGTTGGTTAACAATTAATCACCCTTGGACTATTCCATTTCATTTTATTCCTAGCTACAAATACAATTGTTCATATCTTAACAAGTTCGATTTGTCATGATATGAAGGAACCGCTTACATTATTTGTCTTTTATTTATTTCTTCAACTATTTCATCACATTGTTTAATTAGGACATAAGATGATCCGTAAGAACTGGTATATATCAGTAAGCACATGACCCCTAAAGAAAATTTTGAGACCTAAGGGAACCATTTATGAAATTCATTTAAATTGTTCTCTGAGTCATGACCTTTTAAATAGGATCTAAGTTGTATACAATTACAATATAACAAAAAGAAAAGTTGTATATATTGACAGTTCAAAAGAATTTTACACTACATAATTTATTGGTTGTACTTCCTCCATTCTAATTTATGAAACATAATTTGACTCAGCACGTTGTTTAAGAAAAAAATAAATTTTTTAAAATTTATGGTCTTAAATATACGATAATATTTGAATGACTCTAAAAGTTTCTCGTTAAGAGTAAACTGAAAAGTCAAAGTAAAATTATTTTCAAATATATAAATTTGTCTTTCTTTTTTAAAAAAACTAATTAAAAAAATGTATCATATAAACTTTGTAAAAGTAGCTCATTTTTTAGGCAAAAGAGATATTTATTATTGTAAGTCAATTTTACCTCATGAGGTAAAAATTCATATATTATTAAGTCAAAACACACAACTTATAAACTTTTTAACTAAATCTACCAAAATTAATTCTTCATATGCAAGTACGTATGAGTACCCAAAAAAGTGTGCTGAAGTAACGAGTGGTTGCTGTCAAAACTCAGAACTCATAACTGTACTGACTGAGACTTGAAAGGAACTTGAGAAGTAGTACATTCCTTTTGTAATACTTCAAATTATATCAGTGCCTTTTCAAGTATGCACAAAAATGGCAAATTGAAGAGTCATTTTCTCATTCATCATTTTCATTGCAGTACTATTGCACCCAAAATTATTGAAAAGTGTTCTGTTTTCTTTCTATCTAAAGGCTTATCGTTTTGATCCCCCAATCGTGTCGTCGACATCAGTACTTAATTTGTGACGAAAGGAAAACATCAACCATAGAACATGCATTAATCTCGCAAAGAGAATTGATAAATAGCTAGTCGGATTTCATATTTATTTTTCCTAGTGGATATATATAGATTAAGTGTTGATTATACATAATTAAGCAAATATTATCAATCTGACTAGCTATTTAGGTTAATTTTTCTAGAAATGAAGGAAGGCTTTAACTTATAAACGTTTGACAATATAAAAAATTGGTACCCTAATTTAATCAATTTTATAGCAAGTTATTTCCTTATTTCTCGAGTTTCCTAATATCACGTTTAGGACAAAGAGTTGTTTATAATTGAAAGTCAATTTAATTTGATGTTAATAAAACTTATACACTATTAGTATATATAACTTAAACTGATAAAAAAATATACCTTTGTCATTGTAATTAATCATCAGTAGAGATTGTACATGTATGAAATGTCAATACAAATAAAAACATATGATAAATTTTTGGGGAAAAAAAGAAAAGAGGAACTAAAACGCCTCTACATCCTTACATACAAAACACCCAAACAGTAGCAAAACTTGGGCATTTTTGGAGAGGGCTGAAACCTATGGCTATCTTCTGGCTTTTGTAGTATATGTTTTTTACACAAGTATTTTACATCTATCTCTTTCCCCCTGTGAAAAAAAATAAGAAGGGAAATTCTGGGGTTTTTCTTCTTCTTTTTTATGATTTTCTTCACATGAATTTAAAAGGTAGAGATGCAACGTCTGTGTGTTGGAACCTTTTGCTTCTTTTGCTTAAGATCTTCTTGATGTACTTTTCCAATATCTTTAGCAATTCTAATAGCATCAGCAGAAGCACCAGCCAGCCCTCTCCCTGTAAATCCAACTGCATATAGCCCAGATTTTCCTTTCCAGTTATTTTGTGCCTTTGGAAATCCATTCTTTGAGAAAAATTCACTTTCCTGTAATAACATAACAAAACAATATTAGTCAACTATTCAAGAATGTTGTTTAATATTTCCTTTTTATTTAAATAGTAGCACAGTTTCTCACCTGTAGCCAGTAAGGAACATTGCTGCAGTAGCCAGTAGCCAAAACAACTGAATCAACTTCAAGTGTTTCACCATTGACAAGTTCAACAGTGCCACAGTTAAACTTTTTGATTCCAGGTACAACCTTAACTTTTCCTGATCTGATTTTTTCCAAAGCACCAATGTCAAGTACAGGGGTTTTTCCTTGAGTATTCTTGAGTGTTAATGGTCCAATTGATGGCCTTTTTAGTCCATAACTCTCAATATTTCCAAGAATAAACCATGTTAGAATAAGTAGAATTTTGTCGACTAGCCAAAGTGGTAGCCATGCCATTAATATCATAGCCAGCTCAAAAGTTGATTTCCCGAAAATCTCTCTTGGCAAAACATGAACCTGAATAACAAAAGAAACAGAACAAAACTATATTAGAAATTTGTCGAAATTAAACTGTGTGATCATTTCATTTAAAAGTTACAGTTCAGTATTAATAACTTACCGAGCTACGGCAAACCATTGATGGTTGAGCATTATGGTTACTAAGATCAAGTGAAACTTCCATGCCAGAATTTCCACAGCCTACAACAAGAACTTTCTTTCCTCGAAATTTGTCGCCAGACTTGTACTCACAAGCATGAATTACTTCACCTCCGAAATTTTTCAACCCTTCAATTTCAGGCACAACTCTTTCAGCATTTTCACCAGTGGCAACAACAAGCCACTGGCAAATATACTCAACTTCAGAGCCATTACCTGAAACAGTTTTCACCCTCCACAAGCGGCAAGCTTCATCGTACTTAGCAGATTGGACACACTCATTGAACTGTGGTTTGAGGTCAAATTTTTTGGCATAGGATTCAAGATAATCAATGAATTGTCTCTTTGTAGGGTACTCAGGGTAGTGTTCTGGAAATGGGAAATTTGGGAGTTGACAGAATTTTTTAGGAAGATGAAGTTTCAAACGATCATAAGTTCTTTTTTGCCATAAAGATGCAATACAATCTGTTCTTTCCAAGATAACACAAGGAACTCCTTCTTCTTTCAAACAAGCTCCCACTGCTAATCCTGATGGGCCTCCACCTACAATTACAGGACCATTTACCCAAACACATCTACGAGCAAAGAAATCGTTATCTGAGAAACTAAACATTTTTGCTGAAAGTTGGTGTTTTTCTTTCTTGAGAGATAATGAAGTTGTTTTAGAAGGTTTTTGAATTGGAGAAGTTTTGTTTGTTTTGGTAATGAGAGATAAGTCAATTTAGAAGTTGTTTGAAGAAATGAGAGGGGAGAAGCTCTTTATATAGAAGTGTTGGGCAGTGATAAATGAAAGATGCATGTGACAGAAGGTGGGAAGTTAATGCCTTTCGAGGGGTCATTCTCAAATCATAAGCTAA